CGATTCCAGATATCTTTACCTCTGAATAAACTGCCTTATATTATACAATTATCCACCTTGTCCAAAAGTCTCTACTTTTTCTCCGTTCTCCAGTAAACTTGTTTTATCAACAATAGTAAGGTTCAATGACACAGAAAGCAGTTCAATGTCGGGGTACAGAGTCGCTCTCTTACCAGGATCGCGGTCCGCTCTGACCAGGGTGAAGGTGGCCGGCTCCACCTCTCTGTCCGGGACTCTGTCATCCAGTCAAGTCTCCCAGCTGTATTGGGATTCCGCTGCCAGCAGCGTTTTCATTATTTAGTCCGTTCGTAGCGGGTATGTACACGATCAACAAGATCAGTCCAAAACCGAAGATCAGTCCAAAGCAGAATGTTTGCAGAATGTTTGTAAACTAAGTCTACAAATTAAAAACATAAAATAACGCCACACTGCAGGTCGCAACATAGACGCTGGTAGCCGCCATTGTCTTAGTTACGTTCAACGTTACGTCACGTATGACGAAAGCGCGTAAGTGCAAGCACACAGACACCCATAGAGAATGTATTGAAAGCTTTGAAATTTGAAAAAAATAGATTTTACATGACAGGCTATGAGAGACTTCTGGGCGATTTTCAACCTGACTGAAATCGCCCAAAAAACGGGCGGGGCCATTTGAAGCACGACTTTAGCCTGATTTGACATTTAGTGGCTGGCAGATCAGACGTGAACACTGATAACTGCTGTTGCCATGATATAATTGATTAGAAAAAAAATCCCTTCCTTTTCCCGTTTGGCAGTGCGTCGCCCATATCGCCCTATTGAACAAGCCGTCCATGTTTGGTCCTTAAATGAAACTGATACACCTTTTTATTTATCACAGTTTTCCTTAACCAATTATGTTCTTTAATGCAAGGCCGACAGACAAGTTCCTTACTTTCTCCTCCTTCCACTTTCCTCTTCCATTTTTGCGGTAAGGCTGCAATTATTTGGTTGTAATTTTGGGTAGAGCAGACATTTCCATATGTTTTTGTTAGCTGCATGTGCGACATAACTCCACCAGTCCTACCGATGATATCATTTACAAAGATTATACCTTTTTTAAACATTTTGTCAAAAAAAAAAGTATTTTTGTCAATTAGTATATTTGAGTTTAACCACAATATTTGTTGCATTATTTGTTCTGTCGTTTCTGGAGGATTAAATTGAAATTGCAACCAACTTTCTATGGCTTGTTTTACAAATAGTGATATCTGGGAGATTATTTCCTTTTCAAATAACTGAAAGTGAGTGGTTGTAATCTGAATAAAGGGAAAAAGGCCATTCTTGAACATTGGGTGAGACAATCTTACTAATTTGCTAGAGAACCAGTTTGGATTTAAGCATAACTTTTATATGACTGAAGCTTTTAGTATCTGTACCTGCTGTTCTCTGACGACGATCTCCTGCCTCTGAAGGACTGGGTGTTTAACACAGAAGCACACCCTCTACCTGTCATCCCCAGGAACTGCTCTCAGGAGACAGAGGACACAGACCGTTGGCCTGCTTGACAGGCTTATAGGACTCCATTGAAATGGACCACGTATGGTGTATGTCCACTATCAGGCTTAGCTCCAGTGATTGGCCCAAACATTTTGCCTTCATGTTTCCATCTCTGAGGCCTGGCCCCAAAAAAACCCTAAGAAAAGATAGGGGGCCCCTTTCTGGCCCTAGTCACTTTGATTAAACTGCAGGAGATGGATGGTCAGTGAGACACATATCTCTGTGGAAACTGTTGAACTGATTTTGTCTTCACTGTGAAGGCTGTTGTTGTTTCTGTGAATCATCAGAAACCAACAATAAGTATATCTGACTGTCTACTTCTTTGCCTCTGTGAGGAAAATTCCGACGTCACAGGGAATGAGCTGAACGTCAGCTTTCTGAGTGTCAATATTTCTTTGTGATACATCCATTGTGCATGAAATCTGTCTGCTATGACAAAATATTGGTTTTTCATTGTAGATGAAATTTCTGTCCATGCCAGTTATTTTTCTTATCAGATAATTTCACTAATTGTAAGTCGCTCTGGATAAGAGTGTCTGGTAAAGGACTAAAAATAAGACAAGGAGACAGGTACAGGGAGAAAGACCAGGCAGGGCGACAGGTACAGGGAGGGAGACCAGACAGGGCCACAGGTACACAAGGAGACAGACCAGACAGGGGGACAGGTACAGGGAGACAGACCAGACAGGGAGACAGGTAGACAGACTAGACAGGGAGACAGTCGAGACAGACCAAACAGGGAGAAAGACCAGCCAGGGAGACAGAACAGACAGGAAGAAAGGGAGACAGACCAGACATGTATACAGACCAGACAGGGTGACATGGAGTCAGTCCAGATAGAGAGAGAGGTACAGGGAGACAAGTAGACAGGTACAGGGAAACAGGTAGACAGACCAGACATGGACAAAGACCAGACAGGAAGACAGGTACAGGTAGACAGACCAGACAGGGAGACAGAGCAGACATATAAGGGAGCACCCCTGTCCAGGTTGACAATGATATAAATGACAGTAATCAGGCTATTCCTAGAGGACCAATCAGTGCTTTACCTGGATCAACCGTAACATTATGGAAACATTATGGTGACATTATGACTTAAGCCAAAGGTCATGACATTATGACAAAGGCTTATGTTAAAAGGTTGTAAGGTTATGGTTATGCTACTTGTATTTGTGAGAGGTATTGACATGTTGAAAGCACCGAGCTGTCTGTTTAAACGACTAGCACACAGCTCAGACACCCATGCATACCCCACAAGACATGCCACCAGAGGTCTCTTCACAGTCCCCAAGTCCAGAACAGACTATGGGAGGCACACAGTACTACATAGACCCATGACTACATGGAACTCTATTCCACATCCGGTAACTGCTGTAAGCAGTAGAATCAGATTTAAAAAACAGATAGAAATACACCTTAAGGAATAGCGGGGACTGTGAAGCAACACAAACATTGGCACAGACACATGCGTTCACACACATGATAACATACGCACTATACATACACGTACACATGGATTTTGTGTTGTAGATATGTAGTAGTGGAGTATGGGCCTGAGGGCACACACTTAAGTCTGTTGTGAATTCTGTAATGAATGTATTGTAATGTTTTAAAAATGGTATTGGGGATCCATAATAAATACAAAAACAAATGGTGTTGGATATCATGTTGATGTAATGGGGACAAAATGGTCATGTTATCGGTACGTTATGGCGACGTTATGGTGATGTTACACAAACGCATATTTACATAAGATGACCTTTAACAGAGAAAGCATAAAGTATTGTCCCTTCTTCTCAGTCTATCCCCGGTGCATTATTGAACAAATTGAATGCACATTATTCAGCCACTCTTGTAGGAAAATGGCATCAAGCCTCAGAGGGCTGATCTCACACATGAGAGGTGAAAAGGTGAAAGGAGTGCTGATCTCATTGCAGGGAAAGGTGAAGAGGTCACAGTTGTGACCCTGATGGGGTTGATGCTATAACAACAGCCTGTGGTCAAACAGAGTTAGTCCTCAACTGAAGATGCTTGTGATCCTACTCTTACAGCACACACCCCCACCTCAACTCTCAGATTATCCCTATGGGATCCTTGTATCTGGATTATATCCTTGCTTTTGATTTAATCACTGGACCAGTGGGTTTCCTCATGGCCAGGAATTGATCGGTCACTTTCCAGGAATCAGACATTTGAGAACTGAACTGAAGTTTGAAGGGGGAAACCTGTAGGTGAGAGAGGAGAAGGGTGAGGAGGTGAAAGATTGGGAATGGGTGAGGTCAGGGGTTGAGTGGAAAGAGAAGGAAAGGGAAGGAGGGAGGGATGCATGTGCAGAAAGGGACAGCGGGATTAGGAGTGAGCGAGAGAGCGCTGGAGGCCAACCTCACATCAATCTGCAGTAGATCTGTCTCGTCTGTCCTTGATGCTATGTCATTGAGAGGAGTTTCTGAGAAAGCAGACTGAGAAGGCAGACTCCTTGGCAGTGTATTAGGAAGTGTATAGCATCAGCCTTGGCAGTGAACTAGGTACAGTGCGTTGGGTTCAGCACAGTGCTGGCAGGCTTTCTCATGGCTGGGTGTTGGCAGGCTGTCAAGAGTTGAGCTCTTAGCTCTCAGCACGGCCACTGTTTCTTTTCACACACACACTCCTCACAGGACCCGCACACTGCACAGTACTGTAGGAACACACACACTCATGCATACGGTCAGGTCCAAAAGTATTGGCACCCTTGATAAATATTAGCAACAAATACTATAAAATTAGAGAACACATTGGGAGGAATCTTATAGCATTCCTCCATACAGAATATTTCCAGATCCTTGATATCCTTTGTCTGCGCATATGGACTGCCCTCTGTAGCTCAACTGGTAGAGCACGGCGCTTGTAACGCAAGGGTAGTGGGTTCGATCCCCGGGACCACCCATACACAAAAATGTTTGCACGCATGACTGTAAGTCGATTTGGATAAAAGCGTCTGCTAAATGGCATATTATATTATATTATTAAACCACAGGTTTTCAATGGAGTTCGGAGACAGATGGAAATAGAGCTCTTTGGCCGCACACACCAGTGGTGGGTTTTGCGTAGAAAGATGCAAATGCAGAAAATAACCCCATACCTACTGTAAAATATGGTGGTGGATCTTTATTGTTATGGGGTATTTTGCTTCCACTGGTCCTGGGACCCTTGTTAAGGTCAACGGCATCAATTTTACCCAGTGCCAGGACATTTAAGTTGCCTCTGCCAGGAGGCTGAAACTTCGCCGCAAGTGGATCTTCGGGCAAGACAATTACCCTAAGCACACATCAAAATCCACAAAGAAATGGTTAATGCAACCAGGTTATTGTAAGGTTTTTATTTTTCATTTTTCCCCCTCGAAGATTTCAGTTTATTTTTCAATTAAATTGTTCACATTATAGGTAACATTAACAGTGGAAAAAGCTCTGACATGATTTATCTTTGTCTCATTCTTTTACATCACAAAAACCTGGCATTTTAACAGGGGTGTGTAGACTTTTTATATCCACTGTATAGATGCACACTTGAAGATCTGCTCTGGATGGACTCGTAACAGCATCGCAGAAATTTTTAAATGCCACCTTTATTTCTTTACACCTCAGAGTGCATTGCAAATGACATTCTATATGGCCCTTGGGATGCAACCTTGGGATTGTTGATTGTGAATTGTTCGCTACTCACTAGTGTCTCTCTGTCTCATAGTTGTTTGTGTTTGTCTGTCCCGTCCTGCCTCAGTAGAGAGAGATAGAGGCGTATGAAGGAGTAAGAGACTCCCAGAGAGCAGTACACTGATGTCACCAGCAGGGGCACGAAGGGCAGGGTATGCTGCCATGGCGACAGAGGGTAAACAACCTCACAGAGGATCTCTACGGCAACCAGGCCCAGGAGGTAGGTGGCTTCCAGGGGGTTCAGGAGGGAGCCCCTGTAACAGAGTTAAGATTGTAGTGTAAGCTCACACAGCTTGAAATGTCTCCACACGTGTTGTCGAATTGTTCGTTTTTCGGTGGCGCAACTGGCTAGTACATTTTCAAACAGGTGGTCACATATACCTGAGATCAATACTGGTAAGGATTTGTGAGCGAGGAAGCTATACTGCTAAGCAGCACACAGTGGCGCTGGTTATACCGAGAGAGGAGCTAATTATTGTCACGATCGTCAAAAGGAGCGGACCAATGCGCAGCGTTGCGAGTGAACATGATGACTTTATTTAATAAAGTGCAACACGAGAAAACAAAACAAAAGACGATACGTGAAGTCCAAAAGTTACCAATACTAAAACACGGAACATGGAACAAGGAAACAAAAACCCACAAACACAAGGTGAAACCACACAGTTTAAATATGGCTCCCAATCAGAGATAACGAGCCGACAGCTGTCACTCGTTACCTCCGATTGGGAGTCACATGAATACAAACAAGGAAGACAACCACCTAGACACCCCAACCAAACAGCACACAACAAAACGAACACACCTCATACCCAACCTAGCCCACACAACACCCAACAAAACAAACACACCCTGGTTCTATAACAACGTCCCGGAACCAGAGCGTGACAGTACCCCCCCCTAAAGGTGCGAACCCCGGGCGCACCAGCATACAGTCTAGGGGAGGGTCTGGGTGGGCGTCTGTCCACGGTGGCGGTTCTGCCCCTGGTCGTGGTCCCCATCCCACCTTAGTCACCACCCGCTTCCCTAGCCTCCTCCCCATGACCACCCCCCAACTAAACCCCACTGGGTTAAGGGGCGGCACCGGACTAAGGGGCAGCACCGGACTAAGGGGCAGTATCGGACTAAGGGGCAGTACCAGGCTGAATGGCGGATCCCGGCCGGTCGGCTCTGGCGGATCCCGGCCGGACGGCTCTGGCGGATCCCGGCCGGACGGCTCTGGCGGATCCCGGCCGGACGGCTCTGGCGGATCCCGGCCGGACGGCTCTGGCGGATCCCGGCCGGACGGCTCTGGCGGATCCCGGCCGGACGGCTCTGGCGGATCCCGGCTGGACGGCTCATGGCTGGCTGACGGATCTGGCTGCTCATGGCTGGCTGACTGATCTGGCTGCTCATGGCTAGCTGACGGATCTGGCTGCTCATGGCTAGCTGGCGGATCTGGCTGCTCATGGCTGGCTGACGGATCTGGCTGCTCATGGCTGGCTGACGGATCTGGCTGCTCATGGCTAGCTGACGGATCTGGCTGCTCATGGCTAGCTGACGGATCTGGCTGCTCATGGCTGGCTGACGGATCTGGCTGCTCATGGCTGGCTGACGGATCTGGCTGCTCCTGTCTGGCAGAAGGCTCTGGCTGATCCTGTCTGGCGGAAGGCTCTGGCTGATCCTGTCTGGCGGAAGGCTCTGGCTGATCCTGTCTGGCAGAAGGCTCTGGCTGATCCTGTCTGGCAGAAGGCTCTGGCTGATCCTGTCTGGCAGAAGGCTCTGGCTGATCCTGTCTGGCGGAAGGCTCTGGCTGATCCTGTCTGGCGGAAGGCTCTGGCTGATGCCGTCTGGCGGAAGGCTCTGGCTGATCCCGTCTGGCGGAAGGCTCTGGCTGATCCCGTCTGGCGGAAGGCTCTGGCTGATCCTGTCTGGCGGAAGGCTGTAGCGGCTCCTGTCTGGTGGAAGGCTTTAGCGGCTCTGGTCTGGCGGACGGCTCTGAAGGCTTATGGCAGACGGGCGGCTTAGCAGGCTCAGTACATACGGGCCGTTCATGCAGCGCTTGGCATACGGACAGTTCAGACGGCGTTGGGCAGACGGGCAGTTCAGGCAGCGCTTGGCAGACGGACAGTTCAGACGGCGTTGGACAGACGGGCAGTTCAGGCAGTGCTTGGCAAACGGACAGTTCAGACGGCGTTGGGCAGACGGGCAGTTCATGCAGCGCTTGGCATACGGACAGTTCAGACGGCGTTGGGCAGACGGACAGTTCAGGCCCCGTTGGGCAGACGGCAGACTCTGGCCGTCTGAGGCGCATCGTAGGCCTGGTGCGTGGTGCCGGAACAGGAGGTACCGGGCTGAGGACACGCATCTCAGGGCTAGTGCGGGGAGAAGCAACAGGGCATGCTTGGCCCTGGGGACGCACCGTAGGCCTGATGCGTGGTGCCGGAACTGGAGGTACCGGGCTGAGGACACGCATCTCAGGGCTAGTGCGGAGAGCAACAACAGGACGCACAGGACTCTGGGGACACACAGGAGGCTTGGTGCGTGGTGGAGGCACTGGTGGTACTGGGCTGGAGCGGGGAGGTGGCGCCGGAAATACCGGACCGTGCAGGCGTACTGGCTCCCTTGAGCACTGAGCCTGCCCAACCTTACCTGGTTGTATGCTCCCCGTCGCCCGACCAGTACGGGAAGGAGGAATAACCCGCACCGGGCTATGTAGGCGAACCGGGGAAACCATGCGTAAGGCTGGTGCCATGTATGCTGGCCCGAGGAGACGCACTGGTGGCCTGCTGCGTGGGACCGGCTTCATGACATCCGGCTCAACGCTCAATCTAGCCCGGCCAATACGAGGAGCTGGAATGTACCGCACCGGGCTATGCCTGCGTACAGGAGACACCATGCGCTCTACTGCGTAACATGGTGTCTGCCCGTACTCCCGCTCTCCACGGTAAGTACAGGGAGTAGGCGCAGGTCTCCTACCTGACTTCGCCACACTCCCTTTTTGCCCCCCCCCAAGAAATTCTTGGGTAGTACCCACGGGCTTCCAGCCTCGACTCCGCGCTGCCTCCTCGTACCACCTCCTCTCGGCTGCAGCTGCCTCCAGCTCTTCACGAGGGCGGCGATATTCTCCCGGTTGTGCCCAAGGACCCTTTCCATCCAAAATCTCCTCCCATGTCCATGAATCCTTAGGAGGAGTCCATAACTCCTGTGTAGGTAGGTCCTGTTGCCGCTTGTTACGCTGCTTGGTCCTTTTATGGTGGGTTTTTCTGTCACGATCGTCTGAAGAAGCGGACCAATGCGCAGCGTTGCGAGTGAACATGATGACTTTTATTAAATAAAGCAACCACGAAAAAACAAAACAAAAGACGATACGTGAAGTCCAACAGAAACAAATACCTGAACTTGGAACAAAAACCCACAACCCACATGCGAACACAGACAGTTTAAATATGGCTCCCAATCAGAGATAACGAGCCGACAGCTGACACTCGTTACCTCCGATTGGGAGTCACACACTACACCAAACAACAACCTAGAAATAGACACACAGAACTCCCAACCTAGAAATAAACGTGACAGACATGCAAACATAAAAAATCACCCAAAACCCAACAAAACAACATACACCCTGGCTCAAATACACTAGTCCTGGAGCCAGAGTGTGACAATTATGCTCTGACAAAAAGCAGTGCTCTTAGACAGGACCCAAACGTAAAAGGTATCAGTATGGGTAAACATGAATATAAACTAAATTTATTTGCAGATTATCTCCTGATATACCTGACCAATACTGAAAACTCAATGCCCCCTTGCAAAAAATATTTTCGGAATACTCTAAAATCTCAGGATATAAAATTAAAAATGAAATAATGGCAATGGGAAATAGAAAAACTCATGATCTACAGCAATCCTTTAAGTGGATTACAAACAACAAATATATAAAGATAACTTCATCCCATTACTCAACAATATGAAAGCAGATCTAATTAAATGGAACAATCTTCCCATAAATCTTACAGGTAGAATAAACCTCTTCAGAATGGCATAGCTCACAAAGTTTTTATATTTATTCTCGGTAATACCAAATTCCCCCGAGAATCCTTTCACGTGTATATTTAAGGATAAAAGGATAAGGCTAAGAACATTAACAACTTCATAGTTAAGAACACTATAACAAAATAAAACATTCTACAAGAACCAATATCACTTCCTAAAAACACAACTCTATGGAACAATCCTTGGATAGCTTTTCAGAATTCACCGATAAATTGGTCCACATGGAAAACTAAAGGCATTGAAAATGTAAATGACTTGGTAACAGGAAATACATTTATTTCCATGACAGAATTAAAAAGCAATTTTGGACTGACCAATGTAGATATTTTCAAATAAACGCAAATTAAAAGTTTGATATAACGAAATTTCGATTTGAAATCTTTTGGACATCAGAGCAATCTTGAGGGAATCCGATTTTAGTCAGAAATTGATATTCATATGATAGGTAAGATATAAAAAACCTTGCAGAGAGCCTATCCAACTGACAATCTCTTAGAAAAAAAATATAAACTATTGGAAAAATAACTGATATTGGCACAAGATGGAGGGAATGTTGAAACATAACTAACGAAATTACAGTTAACGAAAATGTACACTTAATCCAGTGTAAACTAATGTATAGAATAGTATTATACAAGAGACAAAATTCACTAATTCTACAGCACAACGGCAGAGTCATGTTTTAAGTGTAAAACTATCAATGACTCAATAATCCACGCCTTCTGGGAATGCTATAAAGTCCAAAAGTTATGGGCATTAGAAAGTTGGCTGTCAGAAGTATTACAATGTAAATTAACTTTTAATCTATCGGTCTGCATATTTAAAGACATGGCATATGAGGATGCAGTGAGATACCCGATGGGTAGGACGATACTTTTCTCGTCAATCATCTTGAAAACACATATACTTAAAAACTGGAAATCAATGGAAAGGTCAAATGCTTTATTATCTAAATGTTGAAAGTGAGTGGGCGATGGAGAGAAACAAAATGGTGCAGTTTGAGGCCATGTGGTGGAGAGGGAAGCGGGCGCTGAAGATGTGGATGTGAGCAGGTGGGTCTGGGCAAGTGTGATGTTGTTGATGTTTGTGTGCATTTGTATGCTGTTGTTTGTATGTGTATGTTTTGTATTGTCAAAAAAAAAAGTCAGACAAAAAAAAGCAGTGCTCTCCGATCATATCCCTGGAACTCACAGGGCGTGCAGACTTTTGTTCTAGCATTTACACACCTGATTGAACTGTCAACTAATCATCAAGGACAGTTGTGTAAAGTACTTAAGTAAAAATATATTATCTAGGCCCGGTTGAATAAAACATCTTAAGTGTTTCCCTAAAGGAATAATTTCCCCTTACCTAAGGGAAATGTTTAAGGGTGTTGTATAAAGCCCATCAAACATTTCCTTGGGTAAGGGCATCATTTAAGGGTTTTATGGTAGTTTGAAGGCATGTACAGCAGAAAGAGTATCTGGTTACAATTGAGACGACCTGATTCACTGAATGAACATCTCCTCAAAGAGGATATATTTATTTTGGGAGATAGCAAAATAGAACTTCTACATTCAAGACAGGAGAACATATTTCTTGACTTACTTTGACTTACTCAACTTGTTTCTATTACTTTCTAGCACGTCAAGCTAACTTACGGAGTAGGCAGCTAGCTAGCTTTGTAGCCATGGATTGTGCACCTTCCATTGTTTAGTAGCTACCTAGCTAGCTAGTGGATGTTTGTCTTTTGAAAATAGTGCAGAAGAAAGCAACATTCACCTCCACAAATGCTGTTTACATTGATATCCATACTGAATGAAGCACTTAAGGGATGTCATGGGCACCTATAACTTTTTCACTTAATTTAAGGGGGACATTTTCCTTAAAATGTTTTGTGCAACTGACTTAAAGTTAAGGAAACTTTAAGGGTAAAGATAAAGGGGAAATTTACTTAAGATGTTTTATGCAACCGGGCCCTGTACTTCACTATTTATATTTTTGACAACTTTTACTTCACTACATCCCTAAAGAAAATAATGTCCTTTTTACTCCATACATTTTCCTTGACACCCAAAAGTACTCGTTACATTTTGAATGCTTAGCAGGACATACAATTTATTATTATTTTTTAAATGGTGCCGTCTGGTTTGCTTAATATAAGGAATTTGAAATGATTTATACTTTACTTGTGATACTTAAGTATATTTTAGCAATTACATTTACTCAAGTAGTATTTTACTGGGTGACTGTCACTTTTACTTGAGTCATTTTCTGTTAAGGTATCTTTACTTTTACTCAAGTATGACAGTTGTGGTCCTCTGTAGCTCAATTGGTAGAGCATGGCACTTGTAACGCCAGGGTAGTGGGTTCGATCCCCGGGACCACCCATACATAAAAATGTATGCACACATGACTGTAAGTCGCTTTGGATAAAAGCGTCTGCGAAATGGCATATTATTTTTATTTATTTATAATTGGGTACTTTTCCCACCACTGATCAAGGACCACCTTGACTGAGAGCATTACAAATGTATAATGATATAGTTAGTTGTCAACAGCTTGACATACAGTGCTATGAAAAAGCATCCCCAAACCATCACACCACCACCACCATGCTTCCATTGGTATGATGTTCTTACTGTGGAATGCAGAGTTTGGTTTTCGCCAGGCATTACTGGAACCATGTCGTCCAAAAAGTTGACTCAAGTTTGCCAAAAATACTTTTGAATCATCTGTCCATAGAACATTCTTCCAAGAGTCTTGATGATCATCCAGGTGCTTTTTGGCAAACTTGAGTCAACTTTTTGGACGAGATGGGTCCCATTATGCCTGGCGAAAACCAAACACTGCATTCCACAGTAAGAACATCATACCAAAGGTCAAGCATGGTGGTGGTGGTGTGATGGTTTGGGGATGCTTTGCTGCCTCAGGACCTGGACGACTTGCCTTAATAGAAGGAACCATGAATTCTGCTCTGTATCATATAATTAATTCTACAGGAGAATGTCAGACCATCCGTCTGTGAGCTGAAGCTGAAGCGCAGCTGGGTCATGCAGCAAGACAATGATCCAAAACACACAATCAAGTCTACATGAAAATTGCTAAAAAGCAACAAATTGGAAGTTTTGGAATGGCCTAGTCAAAGTCCAGATCTAATCCCAATTGAGATGTTGTGGCAGGACATGAAACGAGCAGTTCATGCTTGAAAACCCACACGTCACTGAGTTAAAGCAGTTCTGCATGGAAGAGTGGGCCAAAATACCTCCACAGCGACGTGAGAGACTGATCAACAACTACAGGAAGCATTTGGTTGGAGTCATTGCAGCTAAAGGTGGCACAACCAGTTATTGAGTGTAAGGGGGCAATTACTTTTTCACACAGGGGAATTGGGTGTTGTATAACTTTGTTTATTAAATAAATATGTAATTGTTGTGTTATTTGTTCACTTATGTTCCCTTTATCTAATATTAGGTTTTGGTTGAAGATCTGATAACATTGAGTATCACAAATATGCAAAAGTAGAGAAAATTAGAAAGGGGGCAAATACTTTTTCATAGCACTGTATGTATCAATACCACCAGTTGTTTAGAGAGAAAAAAATGTAGATAATTTTTTAGTAAAGTAGTAACATGTTGGATGAGTGTGTTGGGGACAACTCCCCCCCCCCCCCCCCCCCCCCCCCCCAGGGGGTAACAGGGGGTAACCAGGGGATAGCTTTACACTTAATGTTACTTTATAGCCTTTTAGCTATTTTACACAGCATTTTATGTCATATAGCTAGATAGCTAGCTACGTTTTTAAGAGAGCTTTTCAATTGGCATCTCTCCCCCTGTTGTCAGTCACAGGTGGGGACTGGATTAGGTGTGAGCAGTGCAGGTGGGCGGCTCCAATTTTACTGGGGATAGCTTTATGTACAAATTAGAATGATGCATTAGCAGAGGATAAGAGAGTTGTCACATCAATGTTACACTGAGTTAATTAGTTAAGCTAGTTATTAAATGTTATATTCCAATGTTAATTAATGTTATATTCCATTCCAATATTATATCCCAATTAATATATTTTTTAATGATTTAGAAACAACTATTGAAAACCTTTTGCTCCTGAATGTCATTTTAAAGACTGCTGGGATTAAAAATCTTGCATTATTCAAATAATATTTAGTGCAATTGTACATAATGGATTGTATGAAAAAGGAACAACAAAGAAAGAACAAAGACAATCTATGTGCAGGTGAGTTAAAAAGAGGGACTTTACGTCAAATCTCCTCATAGTGCGGATATTAATGGTGACGTGTAACACCATTCCCCCCCCCCATATTGTATTTAAATTATTAAAATAAGACAACTAGACATAGCTTTTAAGTATTACTTACTGAAGAATTTCGAAATAAAACGTATTAAATGGATTTTAACACACTTGTATGAAACCCTATACCATAATCTTCTACCGGGAAAACGTCCCCTTTTCTAAAAACAACATTTCATGAAATAACTAAAAAAGTGTAAACTGTAGCCATTTATTTCCCTTTATAGTTTATTCGCCTAAGCATACAATTTTTTGCCCAAACGTTGCTTTTTTGTGTCAGCAATTAGACATTGTTCTTAGGGGGGGCTAGTTACCCCCTAGTACCCTATCTACTCTAACATGGAAGTTCACCCACCTGAACAACTTCTTTAAAGAGGTGAAGCTGTAGAGAGTGAACAGCAGCATCAGCAGGACTTTGATGGGCAGCTCTGTGACAACAAAGATTGACAGACAAACATTAAATATCCTAATCATCCAATATGAAATTTCTAATAACAAAATGGCTTCTCAGAGGGAACCCAAATGGCACCAGTGGTGTCTAGTCGCAGAGGCTCTTACCTGCTGCAGTGAAGAGAAGTGGAAACAGAGAGTAATGCCCCGTGGTGGTCAGCATCAGGAAGATCCCAGCATCCTCCCTGCTCTCAACTGCTAGTACGCTGCCAAACAACAATTACACAAAACCCATTACAACAGGAAGAGGAGCTGTACAAAAATGTTCACACTTTGTTTATAAAAGATGTAACCAACTCTGCCCGAGTTGTATTCATTAGGCACCAAACAGAAGAACATTTACTGAAACAGGGAGTGACTACCAGAGATGTCCAATAAGAAACCCATTTTAATTTTCAGTTGCAAAAATGTTTTGCTACAGTGTGCCCCAATGAATATGACCCAGTTGCTGTCAATGGGTCACTGATAGCAGCGTCTGATAGTAGCATGTCAGCAGTTCACCTGAAGGGCAGTATAGCCATGAGGATGGCCTTCTCATGGACGTGCCAGCCGAACATGAAGGAGCCCAGGGCACAGACCACCAGGCAGCGCAGGAACCCCCGGGCACCACGCGGACGACGCCAGATACTCAACACCGCAGGCTGAGGGGGGTGGGGGAGCAGGGAGAGAGGGGGGTATCTTAACTTTTAATCTTTTACTTTAGGCTGGTACACATTATCCAAAGCCATATATTAATTTCTAAATATATAGCTCTGATATTATCTGGTTAAAAACAACTGCATTATTATATGTACATAGATTAAGTGTGTTTGTTTATAATAACAGTCTTTAGCAGGGGTTGAAACCAAAATTATTTTCCAATTGTTTAGTTCTGAACAGAACCATTATTATTTTTGTTACGTTCCACTGTTCCGACCTGCAAAATAAAGTTCTGAACCGGTTCAAACCTCAGAAAAGTACCGGTTTATATGGTTCCTTTCTGTTCCTTTTTAAACCTCTGAAATCGTCATGAAATTACTTCACCAATCAGTGCGGATGGAGCAGCTTGCTATTGGGCTACCTAGGCTATAGTTGTTTACATGCGCGATGAACAGACAAGTGTAGAGCGCGAGATGCGACTGAAATTTTGCGGGTGGGGAGAGAGCGAGAGGGGGTGGAGGGTGAGGCTTGGCTTGAAGCGCTGGGCACCTTGTTATGACATGCATTATCTGAATTAGGCCCACAGAATTATACCTATGGAGTAGCAGCTTCTATGGAGGAACTTTTGAATGTCTTTGAACATCAGAGAGTTGGCTTAACGTTGGACCAGAAACTAGCTAGCTAGCTAGCTAGCTAACAAGCTTGTGTGTGCACAGAGCGGCACCAGAATTAAAAACATGTCTTTCCATTTTGTAGTTCATAAATCCAATGTGAAAAATGATAACTATAGCATCTGTAACTAGCATTGAATAAATTAATCCATTCTTCTCTATTCAAAAATCTCTCCCTAATTTCTGAATCACGCTTGTAACGTCAGCTTCGGAGGGGGAGGGGCAGGTTGTCTACACATGCCCACACATTGGCAAAGTTTTTTCAGCTGGCAGGCAGACACTAGAATATGTTTCTGAGTGACAGAGTGAGTGCTTTGCATAGGCGCTTTGTTGCATTTTTTTGTGGGACTGAAAACAATGCCTGGAACGTAAAATAATGATATCAACCGGTTCCCATGCTTTTAAAATAACGGTTCTGTTCCGGAACAGAATACATGGATCACTTTCGTTCCCGGTTCTGATTTTGTTCCTCGAAAAATAGTTTTAGGTTCCAACCCCTGGTCTTTAGTGGTGATTCTGAACAGGGCTGCAGAATTTTTGCCAGAGATTATGCTCACCATGATGGAGAGCAGAGTACAGATGAGTGTGATGGAGGGAGAGATGGAGGGGAGGACAGAGTGCTGGAACTCCTGCACCAATCCACCGGTCATTGAGGCTTTGGGAAGCTTTGCCACGTCCAACAGCTTCAGACGCACACCTGAGAGAAACACACCACCCATTAAACCCCTGCTAACATGCCACAAATAGCATGTCTAAATCCCCTCAAATGGTAATATTATTCCTTGAGTCGCTGTCCCTCCAGCCCATTCATAGGCTACTTTCTAGCAAGCCAAAAGATTTACCTGACAGACCCCCATTGAATTTGGCCTTTACTACTAAAGCCCATAGAAACGCATTGAATAACACATTCATAAATGGCAAAAAAGACAGTAAAAAAATATATCATAAGAAACAAGGTTTTTAAGTGTCTGTCCTATATTTAGGAGATATAAGAAAGATCAGGAGATATATATATTTCTTACACATATTTAACCCTTTTTTTTAGGTAGGCACAAAACTACCTTCAAATGAGTCCCCTTTCCACAGTGGGGTCACATTAGTTTGTAGACCAAATGGTTTAGACGCTACAAACAGAAGTTGGCACATCGACGGTACCGACTTCAAACGAGTCCCCTGACACTTGTGGGGGTCGCAGAGCAAAACTGAGACCACCATCGTGTTTGTGAGAGTCATAATAGTTTTTAGGCCAAACGGTTCGGACGCTACAGACATTTGTGAGAAGACCGATTTTCGGGGTATCTCAAGTTCTGACAAACACCGCTCTAGCTCTGCCACCTTTCACCACAGATGCAGAAGTGCGACATCGGCAGATTGAGACGCATCCAATGCTTCTTAGATTGACGCACCAGTGTGTCAATAGACTCTAGGGGGTTAAATCATAACGCATAAGATTATATGGACAGGGGGGACCATACTGAAGTCATAGAGAGAGTAAACAGTGCCTTACCCAGCACAGACAGAGCTTTATCCACCATGTTGTAGAGGGCCCAGACGTTAGGGGCCCAGTAGGCATGGCACAGGCCCCTCTTAAAGGGGAAGAGTCTGGAAAGGACCTGGGGGAGCTGGCCCTGAGAGAGAAATTATAGTCACTGAACTATCCCTTTAAGACAGCAGCAGATACCCAATCACATTCACCAGTACATTACTTATTTGAGCTGGCTCAGTGCGTCACTAATATAAAATAACTGACAGAGCAGTTAGATAAAGCACAACAAAAAGTATATATACTTGATTTAACCTTTATTTTATCAGAGAGTCATACTGAGACCAAGGTCTCAATGACATAAATCACAGAAAATACAAGCAGAAAGAAAAACACGGTCATAAAAAACTAACACATTCATCAGTAATAAGTTCCTTAATAAGCTTTCTGAATTGCCCTAGCGGCACCAGAACATCAAATGTAAGAACATTTTGAAGATTGTTCCACAAATAAGGTGCAAGAAAACTAAAAGCTGATTTACCTAACTCAGTAGAGACCTAAAGTCTGACCTAAATGTCTAAAGTTTAGTAAAGATGTTAGGTACAGTGGGACTTTTAGTAAAAGGGCTTTATAAATGAAAACAGCAATGTATCAACCTACGTGACAGCAAAGAGGGCCAACCAACTTTCTGGTATAGAATGCAGTGATGAGTTCAAAAATTCTCGGCCGTAATAAAGCGCAGTGCGCTATGATAAACTGCATCTAACAGCTTTAATTAAGTGGCAATTGCGTTTATATAGATAATGTCGCAATAGTCCAGGGCCGATAGGAACGTTGACTGAATAATCTACTTTCTACTATTTGGCGAGACGCATTCGGAAAGTATTTTTCCACATTTCGTTACGTTACAGCCTTATTCTAAAATGGATTGAATTGTTTTTTCCCCCCTCATCAATCTACTCACAATACCCCATAATAACAAAGCGAAAAAACAGGTTTTAGAATTGTTTTCAAATTGATACAAAACTGAAATATCACATTTACATAAGTATTCAGACCCTTTACTCAGTACTTTGTTGAAGCACCTTTGGCAGCGATTACAGCCTCAAGTCTTCTTGGGTATGACGCTACAAGCTTGGCAAACCAGTGTTTGGGGAGTTTCTCCCATTCTTCTCTGCAGATCCTCTCAAGCTCTGTCAAGTTGGATGGGGAGCGTCGCTGCACAGCTATTTTCAGGTCTCTCCAGAGATGTTCGATCAGGTTTAAGTCCAGGCTCTGGCTTGACCACTCAAGGACATTCACAGACTTGCCCCGAAGCCACTCCTGCATTGTATTGGCTGTGTGCTTAGGGTTGTTGTCCTGTTGTAAGGTGAACCTTCGCCCCAGTCTGAGGTCCTGAGCGCTCTGGAGCAGGTTTTCATCAAGGATCTCTCTGTACTTTGCTTTGTTCATCTTTCCCTCGATCCTGACTAGTCTCCCAGTCCCTGCCGCTGAAAAACATCCCCACAGCATGCTGCCACCACCATGCTTCACCGTAGGGATGGTGCCAGGTTTCCTCCAGACGTGATGCTTGGCATTCAGGCCATAGAGTTCAATCTTAGTTTCATCAGACCAGAGAATCTTGTTTGTCATGGTCTGAGTCTCTTTAGGTGCCTTTTGGCAAACTCCAAACGGGCTGTCTTGTGCCTTTTACTGAGGAGTAGATTCTGTCTGGCCACTCTACCATAAAGGCCTGATTGGTAGAGTGCTGCAGAGATGGTTGTCCTTGTGGAAGGTTCTCCCATCTCCACAGAGAAGCTCTGGAGCTCTGTCAGAGTGACCATCGGGTTCTTGGTCACCTTCCTGACCAAGGCCCTTCTCCCCAGATTGCTCTGTTTGGCCGGGCAGACAGCTTTAGGAAGAGTCTTGGTGGTTCCAAACTTCTTCCATTTAAGAATGATGGAGGCCACTGTGTTCTTGGGGACCTTCAATGCTGCAGAAATGTTTTGGTACCCTTCCCAGATCTGTGCCTCGACACAATCATGTCTCAGAGCTGTACGGACAATTCCTTCGACCTCACGGCTTGGTTTTTGCTCTGACATGCACTGTCAACTGTGGGACCTGTAATAGACAGGTGTGTGCCTTTCCAAATCATGTCCAATCAATGGAATTTACATTCAAATGCCTCTCCTGTGAACTAGTGACGTGCGACATACGCCTAGTTTCCTGAAATGAGTCACATTTTAGATCTGCGTTTACAAAATGCAGCAAGTGTTTTATCTTTCCTTTTCTGCGTGAAAAACGCAAAATCCTGTGTTAATGCGACCCGGACATAGAGGTAAAAATAAACATAAATGGTATCTACACAGCATGCTGTTGTACTGACAGAGTACATACCATAGCAATGAACGGGCCAAAGGACAGGGCACAGACAGAGATCACGATAGATCCCAGAGCTACCAGACGAACAGGACTGAAACTGCTCCATCTCACAGAGCCATCTGAAGGAAACACACAACAGAGAGGAACAGAGTGAATAAACTGTCTGGTTGGATATCAAATATTTGATCAGTGAGTTTATTACAGTCATATTCTCTCATTAAACTGTGAATTATTTTGTTCAGAATCAAATTCATTTGAAATGTCATCAACCACTGTTCACGCTTACTGTTACCCAGGTAACGTTACGTGCCATCTCTAGTGTTGCTCCTGAAAATGTTCATTTTCTGTTTATCACCCAACAGCTAACTCTGTGTTACACATGTAACCTGCTAGCTCTGGTGTTATCTCTGTAACCATGGTTACCTGTGTTGTCCTCGGTGAAGCAGTAGCTCCGCAGCAAGAAGATCCCGTAGGCAGGAGCAATGTACAGGTAGATGTGTTTCAGGTTCAGGAGAATAGCGAAAAGCAACGCCCCCTCCAGGTGTCTGCCCTGCTCAACCAGAAATAATGTCATAAAATAGCTACCCATTTCCGTAGGAAAAGACAGCAATCTGGACGCTTATAAAAAGATCCAGCTATGCCCTCCTACAAACCATCAAACAGGCAAAGCTTCAACACAGGACTAAGATCGAATCCTACTACACCGGCTCAGATGCTCGTCGGATGTGGCAGGGTTAGCAAACTATCACGGATTACAAAGGGAAACCCAGCTGCGAGCTGCCCAGTGATGTGAGCCTACCAGACAACTGGATTCTGGACTTCCTGACGGGTACCCCCAGGTGGTGAGGGTAGGCAACAACACATCTGCAACGCTGACCCTCTACACGGGGGCCCCTTCAGGGGTGCATGCTAAGTCCCCTCCTGTACTCCCTGTTCACCCACGCACGACTCCAACACCATCATTAAGTTTGACGATGAGACAGCCTATAGGGAGGAGGTCAAAGACCTCGCAGTGTAGTGTCAGGACAACAACCTTTCCCTCAATATCAGCAAGACAAAGGAGCTGATCATGGACTACAGGAAACGAAGGGCCGAGGACGCCCCCATTCACATCGACGGGACTGTAGTGGAGCGGGTCGAGAGCTTTAAGTTCCTCAGTGTCCACATCACTAAGGACCTATCATGGTCCAAACACACCAACACAGTTGTGAAGAGGGCCCGACAATGCCTCTCCCCCTCAGGAGGCGGAAAAGATTTGGCATGGGTCCCCAGATCCTCAAAAAGTTATACAGCTGCACCATCACCGCCTGGTATGGCAACTGCTTGGCATCTGACCGTAAGGCGCTACAGAGGGTAGTGCGTACGGCCCAGTACTTCACTCGGGCCGAGCTCCCTGCCATCTATACCAGGTGGTGTCAGAGGAAGGCCCGAAAAATTGTCAAAGACTCCAGTGACCCAAGGCACAGACTGCTCTCTCTGCTACCGCACGGCAAGCGGTACCGGAGAGCCAAGTCTGGGACCAAAAGGCTCCTGAAAAGCCTCTACCCCCAAGCCATAAGACTGCTCAACAGTTAATCAAATGGCTACCCGGAATACTTGCATTGACCCCCTTTTTTTGTTGCACTGGCTCTATGCACACTCACTGGACTCTACCCACACATACTACACAGCCACTCTAACACACACACACATTGACACCACACACACACTTTCACACTCTTTACATGCGCTGCTGCTACTCTGCTTACTAGCTATCCTGATTGCCTAGTCACTTTTACCCCTACCTACAGTGCCTTCAGAAAGTATTCACACCCTTTGACTTTTTCCACATTTTGTTGTGTTACAAATTGGGATTCAAATGGATTTAATTGTCATTTTCTGGTCAATGATCTACACAAAATACTCTCTAATATTAAAGTGGAAGAAGAATTCTAACATTTGTAAAAAATAAATGTTATTAAAAATAAAACACTAATATATCTTGATTAGATTAGTATTCAACCCCCTGAGTCAATACATGTTAGAATCACCTTTGGCAGCTATTACAGTTGTTAGTCTTTCTGGGTAAGTCTCTAAGAGCTTTCCACACCTGGATTGTGCAACATTGGGCCATTATTCTTATTTCCAGATCGTGCAATAGATTTTCAAGCAGATTTAAGTTAAAACTGTAACTCGGCCACTCAGGAACATTTATATTTTCTTCTTGTTAAGCAACTCCAGTGTAGATTTGGCCTTGTGTTTTAGGTTATTGTCCTGCTGAAAGGTGAATTCATCTCCCAGTGTCTGGTGGAATATTTGTATTCTGTACAGGCTTCCTTCTTTTCACTCTGTCAATTAGGTTAGTATTGTGGAGTAACTACGATTGTTGATCCATCCTCAGTTTTCTCCTATCACAGACATTACACTCTGTAACTGTTTTAAAGTCACCATTGGCCTCATGCTGAAATCCCTGAACGGTTTCCTTCCTCTCCGGCAACTGAGTTAGGAAGGACGCCTGTATCTTTGGAGTGAATGGGTGTATTGATAAACCATCCAAAATGTAAATTATAACATCACCACACTCAAAGGGAAATTCAATGTCTGCTTTAAAAAATGTTTTTACCCATCTACCAATAGGTGCCCTTCTTGACTCCGTTTTTGAAATTCACTGCTCGATTGAGGGACCTTACAGATAATTGTATGTGTGGGGTACAGAGATGAGGTAGTCATGAGAAAATAATGTTAAACACTATTATTGCACACAGACTTAAGCACATTTTTACTCCTGAACATATTTAGGGTTGCGATAACAAAGGGGTTGAATACTGACTCAAGACATTTCAGCCTTTCATTTTGAATACATTTTTTAAAATTTCAAAAAACATAATTCCACTTTAACATTATAGGGTATTGTGTGTAGGCCAGTGACCAACAAATCTCAATTTAATCCATTTTAAATTCAGGCTGTAACACAACAAAATATGGAAAAAGTCAAGGGGTGTGAATACTTTCTGAAGGCACTGTACATATTACCTCAACTACCTGGTACCCCCGCACATTGACTCGGTACTGGTCCTCCTTGTATATAGCCTCGTTATTCTTATTTTATTGTGTTACTATTTCCTTATTTTTTTGGCCATTTTTTTCTTACTTTTTAACTCTGCATTGTTGGGAAAGGGCTCATAAGTAAGCATTTCACGGTAAAGTGTACACCTCTTGTATTCGGTGCATGTGACAAATACAATATTATTTGATCAAACCTACATTCAAATGAAGAACAAGATAGCACAAACATTCATGTTTCTTAAACTAATCTAAATAAAGGATCTTGTTAACTTTGTGCTTGTCAGCTTGCTGCCATGATTCAGCAAGGTTGAGTTATGCAGGAATCATTGGTGTTGTGGGGAAGGGTGGTTGGGTAGGTACAGTACCTGTAAATGTCTTGCCACTGATAGCAGCAGTATTCCAAACAGGAATCCATTGTACTGGAAATGAATGTCTGGATAGAAACGCTAAGGACATGAGAGACTAGCTGGTTAATACCCGTTATGGTAGCTAACAGCATTAAGTGATCTCCATTCACCACTCTTATTTTTCAAGCTTTAGTTTCTCCAGACTGGTTAGTTACAGCTCTATAGAGTTTAATTGCCATAATGAACTAGGTAATGTAAGCTCCTTGACCTTGTGAAAACAGCTGGGTCATGTTCATTAGGGCAGTATGTGGTCTTACCATTTGACCTGACGAAGATCCTTGTGGATCAAAAAGTCAATAAAGGTGGTAATTGGAAGCATATTCAGTGTGCAAGCCTTTCTCTTCTTTTCATATTCATTAGGGAACACCATTTTAAAACATGAGTTTTAAATGAGTTTCTTATTGGACAGGTCTCGGTAATCCTTCTATGTTTCAGTGTGTTTTCTTCCATTTTGTGGCCTAATGAACATAACCCAGCTCTCAGAGTAGTGAGTGAAGGATACGGTCAACGATGAGGAGGCCAAAGTTCCACAGGAGCAGAGCTGCCAGGATGAAAAATGGATGCCCCAGGAGGTCCTTGGAACCCTTCTCCTCTCTCACACTTCTACAGCATCTGGAGGAAGAGAGAAAAACAGTAGTTCTAAATGGGGGACTGTACAGTATATACAAAACACAAAAAATAAACATAAACAAATAAAATCCTTAAAAGGGGCAGTGCAGTCAAAAACCTGATTATCCTGTGTGTTAAATATATTTCCACACTATGAGGTTGGAATAATGCTGTGAAATTGTGAAAATGATGATAATGCCCTTTTAATTGTAAGAGCTGCTTGAAAAGACCACCTGAAATTTCTGCTTGTTTTGCATGGGTGGGGTTTTGGTATAAGTTAATAGACCAATAACAAAGAGAGTTTGCCCTCCTCTCTGCCAATAACGTACAGTTATGAATAGAACTACTGTTCCCTGAAGGAGGGAACAAGGTATAACATACTATGGGGAGTCAACGACCAATCACATTCACCTGAAGAAAACTAAAACACACCCAATGGGCCAATAAATGCAGAGCCTGCCCTTGGAAGCCCTACCTTCCTGGCTATAATACCAGCGTTAATTTATTCAATTCAGTACCGCTCTTCAACAAGCCCAAACCCCCTGACGGCGCGGGGCCAAAACATGTTATACGTCATTCCCTCCTTCAGGGAACAGTAGTTATATTCATAACTGTAAGTTCCCTTTCAGTCGGTCACTCGGTATAACATACTATGGGTATGTGTGGGGTACCAGGATTGAGATTAGTCATTACAAAATCATGTTAAACACTATTATTGCCCACAGAGTGAGTCCATGCAACTTATTATGTACCACAACAAAATGTGGAATAAGTCAAAGGGTGTGAATACTTTCTGAAGGTACTGTACGTAAATCAATCGCTGGGACACACAGACTGTATTAGCCACCGAAGTGTGAGCATTTTGAACTCCTTGAAGTGCTTGTCCAAACCACGCAAGTCCAGGATGGGACGCAGTGTTCCATTGCTGTTAGGAACTAGGAAATACCGGTTGTACCAACCACTCCGTACTTCCGACAGGGGAACCACCCAAATAGCCCGCTTCCAAAGAAGAGAGAAAATCTTCTCTCTCAAAACAGGCACTAGGACACATCCACGGTGACACCTCGAATGCGGCCAACCACCTATACATTGTCATCTGCAGGGGTGGAGCACCACCTTGAGGACTGGGATAATGTGGTTATTTTGTCATGTCCTCTCACACCCGCCACTCCCGACAACCTTGTGTCCGACTGCGGGGAGGAGACTGATTTATGCTCACATATGGGTGATACCTTACTTTCGATACCCTTGGACACCACTGGGCCTTGGGTAGAAGCACTACACTCACTACTGCAAGTCGCTCTGGATAAGAGCGTCCACCAAATGACCAAAATGCAAATGCTCAATGTCACCATTGACAGCCATTCTCAGTGGTGCATGACATCGAAGCCCCGCATATGAAAAAGATTTGGATCCAGATATCATACCCGAGTCTCCTAGTCATAAACCAGAGTTGGACGGGCATTCACGTGCATTTTCCTTGCAGGAAGGTTATATTGCACGAGTTCCCAACATGACTTGAACGCAGGAAGAAAGCACTGCTACTTGCTGCTTTTGCTTCTCCTCGGAACGGGACTGCATGGACTCCATAGTTGAGCCAAACACTCCTTTGGCGAAATTGGCTCGCCCAAAACAATTCCCCCCGCTCCGGTAGGCTATTTGTGACACTGGTCCACCGGAACCAGCCGCCCTCTATTCGGGAACGAACGACTAAGATTACCCTCTCTGTTAGCCTCCGAGATGAGGTGGCTAACTAGCTTCCCATACAGACCTGCAAACTAGACGCGCCCCCTATAAAACAGTTCCACATTCATGCAACTTGGCTGAATGTGAGTTACTCCAGGTAAAAAAAATTGAAAGAGAGTCAAGCGACTCTTTACGGCAGTCATCACAGGTGGTAAAAAATGTTCCCAACCTGGGTTAACTCTGTTGCAAAGGAGAGGAAAGCCATCCTGCCGGTTTGCTGCTCCGCAGCCCAGCGCGATATCCGCGGCAGAGATATGATGCTGCCAGAGCTAGCTCATCCATCTCTTTCTCTGAAAAACCCCCAGAACCAGTCAGAGATACAGTACCACATCCTTTCCAGAATGCGGTTCCCGAACACCTTCAGGGAAGCATAGAACCCAGCCAACTAGCCCATTGCCTGGCTGGGATGCCCATTGGGGAATTGAACCCAAGTCTCCCGCATGACAGGTGGGGAACAACTCCGATCCGAAAACAGCACCTCTCCCTGTCTTCGGCAGCCCTGAGGCCGACGTAACACCATTCTTAAAAAAAAAAAGAGGCCCTTCTCCAGTAAACCCAATCTTCCTCAGAAGTCAGTAGACAACAGAGTCTGAACCTCAGCCGGTGACACCGGTCACACGAGCTGGTCCAAGCCAAGGCAGCCTGAGGCGTGTTTCCACCCCCGGCAAACAGGACAACATTGAGTATCTTTAATTTTCATTGTGAAACCACATGCCCTAGGGCATGGTCGGAGGTTCAAATCCGTCTGGTTAGCCTTTTTGAACTTACTCTTACCACTGGCCATCTTACTCAAGCAAGGAAGCACTGGCTACACAAGCCGAGCAGAAGTGGTAGGCAAAGAAGCATTAGCTGAAAGTAATTCGCTTTTAGTAAAACACAAAAAACAATACCAACACCCAAAACTCGCAACATCTAGGGGGACAAGTACTCTCTCCCCACTAACAGACACCCAAGTCGGAGCAGAATCCAGTAGTCTTGAAAAATTGAGTGATATGTTCTCCTTCAGACGAGCTGAAAAGTGAAGAATTTAGGAAATTAATGTGAGCCCCGGTGTTGTAGCTAGGAAGGTGGGGCTTCCTAGGGCCGGCTCTGCATTCATTGGCCCGTTGGGCGTGTTTTTAGTTTTCAGGTGAAAGTGATTGGTCGTTGACTACCCAAAGTATGTTATACCGATTGACCAACAGTCCCACCCAATACACGACATCAGGACAGATTTTTCTCTGCAACCCGATCCACCCACATAGAATTGTTCCGAGAGCCGGTCCGTGACCCGCCAAATAACATTAATTTATTAGGCTATTCCAGAATCAAATCGACTATAGGCTGCAAAAATAGCCTACATTTATTTAGTAGGCTATTGGCTACTCAAACCTTTACCAGCCACACAGATATAAACTTTATATGGCCTGCGTATGGTTTAAATGAACGAAAGCCTGAATAATTAACTGAATTATTGTAAACAAATACCTGCTTGCACTTTTGCAGGCTGTGTATCCATCTACCAGGTTGTTGTCCTCCTTGTCCACAATGACTCCAAAATCCTTCCAAACTGGAGATTTCACTTGCGCAGCACCTGTTTCCACGATGGTATATATCACCATCACAACCTTTCTTTCCATTTTTCCTTATGTTAGCCATTTTCGCTTGAGCTAAGAGTCTGAAAAAATAAACTTGCCAACGTATTGTCGCGTGGCAGAAGGGAACATAAGCTCTGCAGGTGGACAAATTAGGAATGTTTCAGAACCACACAAATATCCTACTAATGGACAGTTCCCTGCTCCACTCTCTCGCTGGGTGGCTAGTAGCCTAGGCAATACAGTGCCTTCGGTATTCAGATCCCTTGACCTTTTCCACATTTTGTTACGTTACAGCCTTATTGTAAAATTGATTTTAAAAAGTATAATCCTCATCAATCTATACACACAATATCCACAAATCACAAAGCAAAAACTGGTTTTTAGAAAAGTTTGCTAACGTAAAAAAAAAAAAAGAAACTGAAATATCACATTGACATAAGTATTCAGACCCTTACTGGGACAAGTATTCAGACCCTTTACTGGGCGGCAGGTAGCTTCGTGGTTAAGATCGTTGTGCCAGTAAAACCGAAAGGTCGCTGGTTCTAATCCCCGAGCCGACTAGGTGAAAAATCTGTCGGGTTGCCTTGAGCAAGGCACTTAACACCTAATTGCTCACTGTAAGTCGCATCTGGATAAGAGCGTCTGCTAACCAATGACTCTAAATGTTAAAATGTAAAATGTACTCAGTACTTTGTTGAAGCACCTTTGGCAGCGATTACAGCCTTGAGTCTTCTTGGGTAGGACGCTACAAGCTTGGCACACCTTTATTTGGGAGTTTCTCCCATTCTTCTCTGCAGATCCTCTCAAGCTCTGTCAGGTTGGATGGGGAGCGTCGCTGCACAGCTATTTTCAGGTCTCTCCAGAGATGTTCAATCAGGTTCAAGTCCGGGCTCTGACTGGGCCACTCAAGGACATTCAGAGACTTGTCCCGAAGCCACTCCTGCGCTGTCTTGGTTGTGTGCTTAGGGTCGTTGTCCTGTTGGAAGGTGAACCTTCGCCGCAGTCTGAGGTCCTGAGCGCTTTGGAGCAGGTTTTCATCAAGGATCTCTCTGTAATTGGCTCCGTTCATCTTTCCCTCGATCCTGACTAGTCTCCCTGTCCCTGCCACTGAAAAACATCCCCACAGCATGATGCTGCCACCACCATGCTTCCCCGTAAGGATGGAACCAGGTTTCCTCCAGACGTGACGCTTGGCGTTCAGGCCAAAGAGTTCAATCTTGGTTTCATCAGACCAGAGAATCTTGTTTCTCATAGTCTGAGAGTCCTTTAGGTGCCTTTTGGCAAACTCCAAGCGGGCTGTCATGTGCCTTTTACTGAGGAGTGGCTTCCGTCTGGCCACTCTACCATAAAGGCCTGATTGGTGGAGTGCTGCAGAGATGGTTGTCCTTCTGGAAGGTTCTACCATCTCCACAGAGGAACTCTGGAGCTCGGCCAGAGTGACCATCGAGTTATTGGTCACCTCCCTGACCAAGGCCCTTCTCCCCCGATTGCTCAGTTTGGCCAGCTCTAGGAAGAGTCTTGGTGGTTCCAAACTTCTCCCATTTAAGAATGGAGGCCACTGTGTTCTTGGGGACCTTCAATGCTGCAGAAATGTTTTGGTACCCTTCCCCAGATCTGTGCCTTGACATAATCCTGTCTCGGAGCTGTCCGGACAATTCCTTCGACCTCATGGCTTGGTTTTTGCTCTGACATGCACTGTCAACTGTGGGGCCTTATATAGACAGGTGTGTGCCTTTCCAAATCATGTCCAATCAATGGAATTTACCACAGGTGGACTCCAATCAAGTTTTAGAAACATCTCAGGGATGATCAATGGAAACAGGATGCACCTGAGCTAAATTTCGAGTCTCATAGCAAAGGGTCTGAATACTTATATAAATACTGTATTTCTGTTTTTTATTTTTAATACATTTGCAAACAATTTTAAAAACCTGTTTTTGCTTTGTCATTATGGGGTATTGTGTGTAGATAGATGAGGAATTGTTTTTATTTAATCCATTTTAGAATAAGGCTGTAACGTAACAAAATGTGGAAAAAGTCAAGGGGTCTAAATACTTTCCAAATCCACTGTATCTGCCTCACCGCTCACATAGCCTAATGGAAAATGCAACACAATTCAACACAACAAGCTCCTGGGTTTGTAAAATAATAATATTATCTTGATTTAAAACATTTCCGACCTGCAATATAATTGTTCTGAACCACGAGCTGACCTGCGAGTTGAAAGGATGTTTTCATTCCACCTGCCAGCTGATTTATTTGCGGCTCAACCGCGGGAAAACCGTGGGTATCCGACCCGATGCAGGACTCTACCTCAATCAGACTACTCCCAGACAGTCCTAGCAAAATTCTTGCTTGAGAAATTGCTTTCTGCTAAGAAGCTATTTTTGTTTATTTTTAACCATTTCAATTGTAAAGTGTTACCCAGAAATGATTTGATATTGAGATAAACACAGCTGCATTAGACCTTTAAAGTCTGAGCATGATGACCAATTTAGTACATGTCCATTTATGAGATACTTTAATACTTAAGGCATCCTCCTTGCATAAAACATATTTATTTTCATTTCTTTAGCGTCTCCTTTCCTCCTGGAGAAAACACTCACTCTTTGACGGCGTAAATAAAGACCACGTCCGTCACGATCACAGAGAGCCTCTGGAAGAGGACGGTAGCAGGACTGGTGTAGATGAGATTCTGCACCACCAGCATCTCCTTGTCAAAGTGCTGAGCCACGTGGGACAGGCCATACTCAAACCAGGCAAACAAAGGAGGGTAGTCCAGGGTCCACTCTGAGGTGTTCTACACAGAAAGACAAACACACAGACATTAACATTTGTATGCTATAGGTATCAATATCTTCCGACAGGTAACATTCCCTCTATCTTTTTTTTGGCACTGAGCAAATTTCAGGTTTGAACATTGTGGAAATTTGAACATTGTGGAAATTCTGTGCAACTTCCAGCGTGCGTTTACTGTGAACACTGAGGCTGTACCCGCTTTAAGTTACAGTTTCAGACAGTGGTCAAGTAGCCTACTGTGGATGATCATAATGTAGGCCTACCAGAGTGGCCTACCATCAGAAACAATGGAGAAAATGCATTCCATAACATGGAAATAGCTGTTCTATCATTCAGCTTACAGTGGTGTTCAATGTAGGCCTACATTCCTTGCGACTTTTGAAAAAAACATGCAGGGCTTGACATTAACCTGTTTATCCACTTGTCCTTCAGACAAGGAGGTGACGGAAAATGTTGTTGTGTTGTTTGATGCAAGAAACCACTTTACAAAATAAAAAGCATTATTCCAATACCATTATTTCAGAGAATCAGACAAATTATGCTACCCTCTGCCTATTGGCTACTTAGCTTATTCAAGTCCATCTCAGAATACAACTCTGCCCCTTTAAGACAAAAAGAAAAGCTCTTTACCTGACTCGCTTTACAAAGATGTAGAAATGTACATGTTTTGTGCTCTTGTAAGAAGCAATCACTCCCCCATTGCTGACTACAGATGATCTATAACTGGGCTAATAACTCACTAACTAGCAAAGGATATGAACAAACGTGCACACTTGGCTTCATGCAGCTCTCGCTTTGATCTCAAAACAAACTAATCTACTCACGACTGCTTATGCAGTAAACACAGTCCAATTCAAAATGAATGGCACAGACGCATTATGGCAATGATCTATTTGCATATAGGCCTACTGCAGCTCTGATTGGTTATGGCGCATCGATCTATGTAGAGTACAGGCATGAGTCGTGCCTGTCAATGCTATAGAATCCTACTCCAAAGCATTCTGCCTAACACAAAATCTCTTGCATAGTTAGTTTTGCAGAGTTTTGGTATGTTGCATTGAAAGTGGCTTATATTGCATTTATTCTTTCACAATTCCCACAGTAAATGGAAACGTTGGTAGTGTTAACTAAGGGGTAAAACTCTACAAAGTTGAGTGAAGTTCAATCTCGTGCTTCTCTGCGCGGGCTGATATTTTAGAGGGAACATTGCCGAAAGGTGGCGACGCTCTTCCCTCAATCTCAGTGTGGATTCGTTGCGCTATCTGACGCAAGATAATGATATAGCTATAGTATTTGTAGCTAGAAATAGCCTATGAGCACTTAATAATAATAATAATAATAATAATAATAATAATAATAATAAAGCACTTAAGGGGTGAGTGACACACAAAGTCTGATGCATACAAATCATGTATTATGCATGCATGTACAGTATGTATGTATGTATGTATGTATGTATGTACAAACCTCATGGTACCATTTTGATACAGGAAAGCTGTAAGTGATGGCGAGCCAGTTCCTGTGAACCTCAAAGTCTGTGGAATGACTGAAATATCCAGAAAACACTGTCAGAGATAACCACACGACACAACACAACATACCTCAATGTACCTCACACTGTTAAAAAAAACCTGTACACAGATAGTTTTAGGACAGTGTAGTTAAGAGGCTTGATGCTCTTATGACACATTTTCCTGATTTGAATAAAGATGTGACAACTAATGCCCTAACCACTTATTTATAGTTAGTTATGTGTGTAAACGTGTATGTTTGAATAACTTTTTCAATCCATTGGCAAAGCTGCCAATGCAGTTAGCAAGCTAACGCAGGCTTGCGACACAACTAATCAATGAATTAGAACTGATAAGAGACCTTGAAATATACATGTTTAGCACTGACACTTGTAATCTATTATACATTATGAGAATGTTTAACTTACTATGCGTTTATCAAAATACATTTCAGGAAAGAAACGCCGAGTGCTAATGCAGGAAACCAACTCCAGTTGTCTGCTGTGGGCGTCGCCATGACAGTTTCTTTTGGTTTTGTAAAAAAACTTTATTGAGATGTACAGTATTTTTATGTACAGTATCGGTTCTAGACTCTGTCACGCGGTCCTCACAGCAGTCACATTGTCAAATTAGCACACGTAGTTCTACAAACAAAGGAAAAGAAGACGATAAGAAATATTGAATTGTTAGCTAGATATGTACCGTCACCGTTCGGAAATGGTCAAAAGTTGCGCAACGGTGAAGAACAACTTCGAAAGCTGCGTACAAATCTGACGTACCATCCGGTGTCATGAGCGCTTGCTTGTCCTCTGTCAGTGTGGGACAGATAGAACACTTTGTACTTCAACATATAGATAATACATGTGTAATACAACTCAGATCGTAAGAGTGTTGTAACTAAATGAGAATTTGTTGCTCCGTGAGTTTAAAAACGAAATCAAAGTCGCTGTGTCTGTTCTGTGTCTGGGGCGATGACCGGTGTAAACAGACACTGTGTAACTCTTTTCCGATCAGTAGTTCAGCACTGTCAGAGGCATCTGAACAATGGCACATACAGGGGAGCACAGAGTTGGAGAGGTAAGCGTTTTGGTATAGTAGTAGTCTTGCAGATAATTGCTATATACCTGTGTACTAACGCTGATTCAGAAGGGTTGTGTTAAATGCGGAAGACACATTTCGGTTGAATGCATTCAGTTGTGCAAGTGACTAGGTATCCCCTTTCCTTTGCTTTGTTATAAACCATTGCAGGCCTAGCTGCCTAGCTTTTGCTTACTACACAAGTGGGCAAAAGTTTCTTATTCCTTAACAAAACATGTTCTACTGTGTGTGTGTGTGTGTGTGTGTGTGTGTGTGTGTGTGTGTGTGTGTGTCTGTGTCTGTCTGTTTGTTAGCCAATAATTCTCAAACACTGCTCAATGGAGTTGTGGCAAAGCAATTAGTTTAGTTGAATTAAATTAGATTCGTTTTGGCAGAGTGTAGCTAGCCTACCTCAGACTACATTGAGTCGGTATCAGTCTATACTGTTTTTTGTAAGATTTTATTTGATATTCTATAAACAATACAAAACGAACGACAACATCATACATAAACTATCACACCTGCCAAACCCACTAGCACACCCCCCCCCCATCACTTTCCGCCACATGGCCTGAAACTGCACCATTTTGTTTCTCTCTGTAGCCCACACACTTTCAATATTTAAATAATAAATCATTAGATTTGTCCATTGTGTTAATGATGGCGGATTGATTTATTTCTACGTTTTTAGAATACGTTTTTTCAAGATAAGTGATGAGAAGAGAATCGTCCAACCCATCGGGTATCTCACTACACCCCCATAAGCCATGTCTTGAAATATGCAGACAGTTGGAGTAAAAGTTAGTTTACATTGTAATACTACTGACAGTCAACTTTCTAGCTCCTCCCACAACTCCCAGATTTAATTTACCTAATTTTCAAAGGAAATATGGGCAGGTCTGTTTTAGGTTTTTTGTGGGGGACTTAAGCACTTCCGGCCAATAGTTCGCAGCTAGCTTGCTCACTAAATCACTATCACTTCCCAAACAAAGATTCATGCAAAACAGGCATTTTATGTTCGGTAAGGGGATGCCACAATAACTGGCAGAAATGGAAGTTGTTCATGGAGTAGGAGTGTTTTGACCACCAAACTGTTTTGAGGAGCGAGTGCAGTTGTGAGGCGCCTTTTGATTTGCACCCACCTCTTAAGGACGACGAGTCTCTTCGGCTTTGGCTCAAAGCATTGAACTTGAAAAAACACCAAACCGACCCAATGTCTGTTCCTATCACTTCGTGGACAAGAGGCCACCTGAAGAGCATCCTTTCCCTGAGAAGTGGCTGGGCCATGATGCTCCAGTACAGACCAGACGGTGACATCTCATCAGGACATCAACACATACAGGTAGCTGTTAGCTAGCTGCTACTCGCTAGCTATCGTCACAGATGGGGTGACCTGAATCAGGCAGAAGTTAGCTAACTTAGCTAGCTAGCTTAGCTAACTATGTTAGTAGTAGGTAGCCACTCCTAGCTTGAGGGCAGCCCATCTGATACAGTGTTGCTAGCTAACTAGCCTAGCTAGTTAGTCCCTACATTGTTAGCTATCCAACAACTTCTATCTGACAATGTCTACCCCATGCCATGATTATCCCCATCATTGCTGGCATGCCACTGGTGATGCTAATGACATGTCTAACTAACTAAATGATTAAACATTATCTCAAGTGTTTTTTTTTTTTTTTTACCTAACACATGACCAGTAGGCTGTCTGTGCATTTTATTTTGTTAAACTTGTGGTCTCGCGTTATGTTTGTTTGACAGATGAAGACAACTGTGGTGATGCAGAGTCTGATCCGAGTGTGCCAATGCCCCCGCAGCGTAAAGATGCTGATACTCAATGGGAGGTTCCAGCACTGACTGATCACAGCTACGTGTCAAACAAACCCAATGTGGTGGTGCAGAGCCATTGACCCACACCATCCTGAAGAATTCCATTAGCTCAGTGTTGTATAGTGGCCTTCCTTTTAGTGTTTTCTTTGACCATGTAGCATAACTTCAAAGTGCATATCACTGATCAAATACTGATAACCTTGATAACCTGAATCTACTCCAGGGTGATCCTTTCCTAGTGAATTGACACAATGAAGGAGCACATGAGGATCTACATTCCATGGCTGCCGAGGGAGACCATCCAGAACACAATGCCTCAGTGCTTCAAAGAGAAGTTCCCCAACACCACTTGCATCATCGTCTGCTCTGAAACCACTCTTCAGAAAGCACACAATCACGATTCCAGAGGGGAGTCATACAGCCACTATTATTCCAGCAATACTCTCCAGTATTTAGCTGCCATTGCTCAATGTGGACTCATTATGTTAATCTCTCCTGCAAATGGAGGCAGATGCACCGACAAGTTCATCACCCAAAACTCTGGCTTCCTGGATTACCTTAGGCCTGGTGATCAGCACATAACTTCACATCAAAAGGCACATTAGTAACAACCTGCTCGGATGGAGCCCAGACAGCAGTTTGCATCTCTCCAGTCCTGTGCAGAACATGACCATTTGCACCTGCATGTAGTACCCACGCGCTCCATTGGGTTGCAGTTGAGGAACCCCATCCACACACTTCACATCTGTTAGTTTGCCAGAGAACAGTTCAGTCAGAGACTCACACTTCTTACTCAGAACAGGACATTTGATTTCTAGAAGTTCTACTCCATCTGGGGTAGCAGAAAGCCACGGCTCCTTGACACTACTGTGCCTCTACTCTCCAGACTAAACCCACAGCTCTCCATCCATGTGTAGGCCACCTGCTCGTTCTCCTTGCCATATGTGGTTGATGAGTTCCCATGGAACCTGGGGAAGAGATGCTCCCGCACAAAGTTGCCTGGATTTGTTGAGATGCGCACAGGAACCTTCTTTGCTGACCTAGCAGTGATCCGAAGTTTACTTGCGTTATTTGTATTATTATGGATCCCCATTAGTCCCTGCCAAGGCAGCACCTACTCTTCCTGGGGTCTGGCAAAATTAAGGCAGTTATACAATTTTAAAAACATTACAATACATTCATTACAGAATTCACAACAGACTTAAGTGTGTGCCCTCAGGCCCATACTCCACTACTACATATCTACAACACAAAATCCATGTGTACGTGTGTGTATAGTGCGTATGTTATCATGTGTGTGTATGCATGTGTCTGTGCCTATGTTTGTGTTGCTTCACAGTCTCCGCTGTTCCATAAGGTGTATTTGTATCTGTTTTTTAAATCTGATTCTACTGCTTACAGCAGTTACCTGATGTGGAATAGAGTTCCATGTAGCCATGGCTCTATGTAGTACTGTGCGCCTCCCATAGTCTGTTCTGGACTTGGGGACTGTGAAGAGACCTCTGGTGGCATGTCTTGTGGGGTATGCATGGGTGTCTGAGCTGTGTGCTAGTCGTTTAAACACGACAGCTCAGTGCTTTCAACATGTCAATACCTCTCACAAATACAAGTAGTGATGAAGTCAGTCTCTCCTCCACTTTGAGCCAGGAGAGTTTGACATGCATATTATTAATGTTTGCTGCTGGAACTTGATGACTGTTTGGTTTAGCTTTGATGCACTTGTGCAGAACACTCCCCACTGGAACATTGGCCCCTTTCAAACTCTTCTTATGTGCATTGTGGGAGTGTTACGCAGGGGTTGGAGGTAGAGATGGAGAAGCGTCTCCGGTGCTGTCAGAGAACTCGTCACTTGGTTTGTGACGTTTGACACAGACCTCGCTCAACCTTTTTGGGGCTAAATTCGGCTGCGTCCCCGTGTTCCACTGGCATTGCTCATCTGTACAGGACACCCCTGTCAATCCTCCATACACAGCATTCTGCACCTTCAACAAAAAACTACTGTTAGAATAGTCAATTACAGTACAGAACACTAGTTTACATGGTGTTCACAGTTGATTAGTTTATACAGTTCCCTTTTAACTAGTAGGTTTAGGTTATATTGGAAATGTCCTATTTGATTGTAAAACTCACCTTGATTCTGTACCTACTACCTCATTGCCATTTGAGATTAGACTGATAAACTTCCACAATGAGCCACTGAAACCAAGAACCGTGTGTGCATGTTGTAATTGTTAACATTATCAGTTCTGGTCAGTGATATGGTATCATCACAATTGGCTAGCTAGCTAGCTAAGTAACTAGCTAACATCAAACTTATCAGTTATAGAAAGGGCAAGTTATGATAAACAAAAAGCCAGTGAGCAAGCTACCTTCCATAGTATTGCAGCTGCATGACTGCAAGACTTCCCCTGCCCTGTAACACAAGAACACCCTGCAGTCTCCACCGTGCCGACAGATGATACAAGAATCCAGGCAGAATGATGGTGTGTTTTGCTCTGACTGGGCTGGGCATCTGCTTTGAGGAACACCAGGTTGTCATCCTTAAGACTGTGAATAAGCACCCGCCCAACTTTGCCGCTGTAGAGGTATTGATATGCCTCTGTGCTTTTGTAGCTCCTCATCTCTGACCCATCTTAGTCTTTTACATTTGACATTTTAGTCATTTAGCAGACGCTGTTATCCAGAGCGACTTACAGTTAGTGAGTGTATACATTTTCAGTCTTAGTCTGTATCTTAGTCTATGCCTCTCTGACATTGCACGCCCATATATTTATTCATAAATTCCATTGCTTTACTTAGATTTGTGTGTATTGGGTATATGTTGTGAAATTGTTCTATATTACTTCTTAGATATTACCCCGCTGTCGGAGCTAGAAACACAGGCATTTCGCTACACCTGCAATAACATCTGCTAAACACGTGTATGTGACCAATAAAATTTGATTTTAGACAAGACAAAATAATTGAAGATGTCTTTGTAGGTGATAGATGGCAATTTTTTTTCATATCTTCCCACTCTTAAATAACCTGCGGATGTGGCACAGACTCGTCTTTGAAAGGTTTTTCTTGGTATGATCCCACAACATTTTGAGCTAGCTAGCTAAAGTTCGCAAAATGGAAAGAACGCCACAAGAGAAGTCCTCCACAAAAAAGAACGTTTGACATTGTTTTGT